TGCTGTCTGAAGAGTAGCTCTGTCTCCAGACGTTTGCAGGGAGGTCTCTGCTGAGACATCTCCTGAAGGTTGCACTTATTATCTGCAGTGTTGGTAGGTGAGTGTTTGACAGGTAGTGGACTGCATACACTGACTCCCTAAACAGCTTTCAGCATCACAGCAGCTTCAGGTTACTTCTACCTCAGCTTCTCAGAAAAGACACTTAATTTCTTGGAAAATACCTGAAAACAATCACAACAGCTTCAATAGAAAAACCTTTAAAATGTATAAGAAAGGTGAGGATTTGGGGCTTTTTTTTGGTGTTTGTGTGTTGGGGTTGTTGTTTGTTTGTGTGTTGGGTTTTTTGTTTGTTTGGTTGCAGGTTTTTTTTGTCTAAAATTATTGTTTTAAACATGTATTCCTGCAAATGGCTAACATACAGAAGAATTGTTCATGGTCTGAAGCAGCCCAAAAACGCTGGTAGCAACTGGTATGGTCTTGTAGCCTCTCCAGAGCTACTTTTATACACCATGACATTATGCCACCAGACTTTCCAGGAGCAGGCTCAAGGCACCTTTGATCACTCTGGGCAATGGTATAGGACCTTTATAACTCATGAGGTCACAAAGGCTTTCTGGGATGCAGTCCACATTGGGAGTTGATGGCATAACACCTTCTTACAGCCTCTGCCCTAAGTGTTGACAATAGCAAAACCCCTCTTGACTCTATTATAGGGTGCAATACATGAAGGGCTTGCCCCATGTTCTGAGCTTGTATTTGCTATGTTAACAGGAGTAGGGGATAACCCACACAAATACACCGGAGAAACTCCAGGAAGAGAGCTTTTTGTGTTGCACCAGTGAAATAGTGTCCAAGGCTTTTAGGGAACTGGCCAAATAAGCTGAATTTGCATGTGCTTCCAACAGGCAGAAGAGAGATGCTGAACACATGCTGCCTGCTATCAGCAGCCCTGTGGTTGCCAAGAATTGCAGCTACACCATTACGTAAACCATCACACAGTACACATTGTGCAGACAGACATCTTGTTTGTGTGTGAATGAATCTGCGTAGGTATGTGGGGAAGTTCACACATTTTAACAGGTTCATGATTTAAATTTAGTACCAAAAGTTAGGCTCTTTTATAGCTGAAGTTGTCACTGACAGACAGTATTCAATTCTGTTTTGAACTGGAGGAAGAGGAGACGCCATGCAGCATGAAATAGCATATTCATCCTGTTAAGAGGAGGCTCAAGTACATCTTGTCTTTTGACATACTCTGCACTACCAAGGCCAAAGAGCATCTCTGGTTCTTGTACCACAGTAACAGGCATTCACTCATTTAACCCTTAAACCACTGCCTGGCTCACAGGAAAATTATCTTTCCAAACCATAATAAGCTCTGCAAAGGTAATAATTGAATTTAAAAAGAGTAAAGCAAGTACTCTGTATAAAGAACTTAAAATACACCAAGTTGCCTTTTTTTTTTTTAAGCAGCTATTTCTAGCTGATTAAGCAGAAGAACCCTGTACACTCAGCTTTTTGACTGTACTCCTTCAATTCAGCCCAGTCCATCCAGATTTTCTCAATCTAGAAACAAAGTGAAATAAAACAAGGGAAATGAAACAGTAAGCAAATTGGTTGTTTCTGCTCAGCTTTTATATGTATATATATATATGTATATATTTCTATACAATTTTTTTTTTCAGTTATGCTATGAAAGAATAAACCACCTGAAAACTCTGGCTGTGATTTTAACAGATGAATTATTTTCAAGAAAATTGAAAGTTCTGTTATAAAATGAAGCTTTCTCAGATGCTTTCTCAGTGTGTGTATGTATTTTCAGACCTAACATAATATTGTCTAATAATTGCTAAAAGAAAAAAGAAAAGGGTTCATTATTTGGTTAAAAAAGAGGCAGCCCTCCCAGCACTGAGCCATCCTGGTATTCAGAGGAATAGCTTGGCACATTGTAGTCAGCACAAAAGACTGAAACACCTGCTCACAGTCATTCCACAGTGTTTATTTCATTATCTATTATTTGAGATAAAATATATGCTCCTGCCAACCCAGGGGTACATTAAAATACTTCATTGTTATGACTGTTTCTCCACATATATTTTTCAATAGCGCTGAGCAGTGCTAAGGTGGCTGGACTCTAAGAGCAGGCAGGATGGATGAAATATATTACCCCACATATGCCTTTATGGCAAATGGATGGATTTCCTTTGTCGTGGGCAAAGTGCACTTTCTGCATGGCTGGGGACAGTGGCAGATTTTTTTAATTAACATTTGAATCTATTATTTATGAGTGCATTCCCTGATGTCTAAATCCAAGGGCAAGCCCTGCCGTGTTTGAGTCCGTCTCTCAGGAGAGGGCTTGAACTACTCCACTGAAAGCAGGGAGAGCCAAGACTTTATGCTTGATCGCTCCTGCCTGTCAGGCAAGGACAAGCATTCGGGATCTAAAGAATTGCCAATTCTAAATGTCCTTGCTCCAAACATCATTTTCTAAGGAGGGAACCGTGTGTTCTGTTGTGACTCTCGTTATCCAAAATCTGCAGATATTAACAGAAGACCTTGTTAAGGCAGGCCTTTTTAACACCACATACAGCCTAAAGCAATGAATTTCCAACAAGCTGCATTGTGCTTGTGGTGACAGGCGCATTGAGCTGAGGACTGTGAAAACCACTCTGGACTTGTTCACCTTCCTCCAAGACAGGCCTGCCACCAGCAGCAGTACTCCTGACTTCGTGGTGCTGATAGGGCTTGAAAGCCTCATGGTCCAGTCAGACAGAAGGCAGCTCTCTCCACACTCTGCTTTCCTCCTACACAGTGAAGGAGGAAGCAATTATACCTGTTTGGACCTTAATTTTATCCCGAGTGGGTATGAGAATTCAGACATACATTAAGCATGCCAAAAGGCCTATGTTTTCTGTGGACAGAAGACTTTGAAATTTACAATTCAGAAAAGGTGTTTTGTGTGGTGAGCGTTTAAAAATGTTTTAGAGGAGTGCAGCTAACCTAATAGGGTTTATATTTTCAAAGCATCTCTGTAATTTATTTGGATTTCTGTTCTCTTGTCCTGTTTTCTACAGCAGAGGGGTAGCTGTGTCTTTGCACATCTAAGATATTATTATGGTGTTTTGCCATCATTTAAGGACTGTATGAAAATGGTAACATCTGGCTTTTAGGCACAAAAGTCAAAAGCAAAGTCATCAAGTGTGAGACTGACATCTTTTATCAATGAATGTGACCACTGTACAACAGTGAGCTATGGGAATGGTATAATAGTTTCACACAGCCAAAGGAAAAATCAAAAGGGCTTATGAAAATACTTGTACTCTATTGCATGTATTATTCTTCAAGTGATACCATTAAATTGAATGTAAACATAAAAATAGAAGGTATTGTTTAACATTAATAAAGTAGAACAGTTGATTAGTAGCTTACTTTTGGTAGGAAATATAATGCTTTCTTCCCAACCTTAAGAATTAGATGCAGTCTTTTCAATAAGCGGTTACTTTGCACAGTCCTCAAGTAGGCAGTGCAATCTGCACTCTGCAGTTTCTTACAGGCAAGAGGACTGGCACTGGATATTTCAAAGTAGATGCATGTTGGCACTCAAGGTCATTTGAGCTCTTTCTATTAAATCTTCAGAAATTTCTAAAGAAGCACTGCAGTTTCCCATAGGCTTTACATGTTACGAGTGATCAAATACATTTCCCTTTTCAAAGTGACTTCTGAAAAACACATGGGGAGCTTCACCCATTAGTCTGCTATTTTTCAAGGTTTGAAGCCAAACTCAATACCCTTTTTCACCTTTGAAGGCAAGGTTTTTTTATCAATTTATGAATAATGATTCAAGGTAATTTCAGGGTAATTGTTTTGTTAAGGAGGGTGACTTGAAGAGGCATAGGCCTGTTTCCTTCATGTTAGTCTCAGTTTGGGTTTTTTTCTTAATAAAAAATAAAAGCTATCAAATGCCCTCAGATGTTCACAAAAGGTTGTCTGAGCACTTTTTCAAATTTACAGAAGTGGTTACAATTATTCTATCAATAACCAGTGGAAGTAACTCCTGGGTTTCACATAATCATTGTATATGTCATTTTAAATGCTGGGCTAATCACCAGTGTTTTGCTGTTCGTGTACCTTTTATTGTGTCGGATGATAAAGTATACCTACAGTCATAAAATAAATTCACTTTTCTCAAAATCAGTTATTGATTCTCTTGTCCTGTAGTCAATAAAGACTGCTGAAGAGTAGTACAAAGGGAAGAGAAGTAATTATGGGGGTAAAAAAAGAACTGTTCAGAGAAGTAACATTTGTAAGTCACAAAGGCTGTTGTTCCATATCCAAATAGCTGATTTCCAGTAGTTCTTTCGGTAAGGTAAACCACTCTATTTAGAATAACTCTTGCTGCTAGATTGTTTTACATATTCTTAATTCAGCAAATAGCGTTTGTTCTTTTCTAGTGACTGTATTTCTGACCAGCTTTAATGACCCTGAAATTAAGAAAACCCAGGAACTGTCTACACTTGTATTCAGCTATGGGGCACTAGATTACCCTGTACAGGTCCTCAAAGTCAGGTCAGAGTTTTCATTTGCACATAATACATAGTATTCAGGCTGAGTCCATCCAGATACCAGGATGTGGCTTTATTCACGGACTGGTTTTGATATCAAGTACTTCTAAATGTCAAAGCTTCTTAGATAAATGTAAGAATACTTGCAATTGTTCTTGTCCAAGAAGGTCAGCTAGATCTACAATGTTGGGTCCTTTTGGTACCTAAAACAGCTTGTGTTTTTTGTTCTTTGTGTATGAAGATAAAGCTGGAATGTTTCATTTGATGAACTGTTGGACTATGAGCAGGCGGAATCAAACCATCACATCTGAATCTGGTTTCTCTTGGAAAGGTTTGTACTGTAACAATCCCAAGGTAAATTTTTGCCTTATGCTCATTAGGCATCTCTTACACCTTTTGTTCTTCACTTTAGTCTCTTATGCCCTTGTAGTAAGTAGTTCAGTCATGTCACCCAAACCCAGAATAACTCACAACAATTGGTGCTAAAATTTAATTTACACCACTATTAAGGCCATTGGTCAAGAATCTGTGCATAGCAAGAGACAGTTACCGCTGTCTTCAAACTATTCAATGATCATGGTCATAAGCATCAGAAATGACTAGTGGGTAGATAAAATATCCCCTGCTTCTCTGCCTTAGATTTTTGTTAAACCAGAGTAGAAACTTGCATTCCTCAAAACAAGTCTGAACTAATCAAAGCTGAAAAAGCTTTCAGAAAGCTTGTTTAAAATAAATACTTTTTATTAACAGAATATAAACCAACAGAATGCAATTCTGCCATGTTTGCTCACTGATTGCCTTTTGCAGTCCTGAAAACAGTGGTATTATGAAATATGGTGCTTCCTAGTCTTATAAAGGTTGCCCATTTGCTAAGTTCAAGTACTTATTTAGAGAGGATGTAGTTTTTGTAAAAGATTGAATCATTGGTGTCAGTCATGTAAAATGATCACATCCTTGAACAAAACTTTAACAATTAAATGAAATATGAAGAATACTTGGATGATTTTATTAACAAATGTGTTTTATTTAACATGTTATGGCATAAGATTAAACTCAAAATTAATAAACTAAAATATATGCTTTTGCAGATATAATAAGATTAAAAAAAAATAGTATTTTGAAAGTACCAAAAGCCCCTCAACAAGTTGTTATATTCTCTGTGCTTTCGTTATTATTCTTTCAAGCATGGTGTTTATTCACTGTATTTCATCTGTAATGCTTCTGCTTTCACCTCTGGCTCACTTAAGAATCTATTCTTAATTCCTTTAAAACATGCAAAAAATATGACTTCCAAGAACTGCCATATAGCCATAGAGCTACAGAACTCACTGCAAAAATACTGATAAACAAGGTATCAGTTAATACCAGTCAGTTTAAGGCTAGATCCTTGGCTGGTGGAAATGGGCAGACACTGATTGCAGCAAAACCCAGACGTACCAGTCAACTGCCAGCTTCCAAGTTCCAAGTCATGGCAAGTTGCTTTGTCTCCATAAAGCAGAGTACTGTATATCCATAATGTTGCCTTATAATTCTTACACATCTCTAGAACAGTTAAGTTTTCAAAAGCAGTATGTTGATTTTGAGTCCACCGCAATGGACACATTTGAAAATAGGTTTCTCTGAACAGTTAAAGGAAACCTTGGGTCTAATTCTTGCATTACATAAAAAAAAACAAAACAAAAACCACAAATGTGCATATGCATATGTATGTATACATGCAGAAGGAAGCCACATAGACACCTGCAGCATGGCCAGCTGCAGCTATATGCCATTTGCTGCTATAGACATGGGCCTGTGTCACAGAGTACATATACATGAATGTAAACTTTACCCCTTGGTTCAAAAGACCCTACTAAGGGAAGTCTTCCTGTTAGGGAAAGGACCAAGTCCAGGGACTGTCTGGAAATGGAGTTTTGTTTCAGGCATCTCTATGTGGACCTGCTCCACTGAAGTTGCAGCATCAAAGCTGTATTGCAAAAAGAACAGACTATTTTACACCGAACTGTAACTAAGATAGTATATCAACTTTATGGACTTTTGTAGAGCAGATATTAAATGATTTTTCCATTTCCCACCAAGTAGATCTGGTAGAAACATGGTACATTCCATTAGCTTCTGTAATTTTGAAGTGGTCAAGCTTAAAATGGCAACTGAACACACTAGAAGGCATCAGCACTGGGAGTAAAATGCTCACTCCCAGCTCCTGGAAATAGCTCTCAATGACATTTCTTCAGCAGATGAAGAGTAATATTTTTAACTGCAAGCATGGTCTCTGTGCAGGTTGGTTTGATCAGTGTCTCAGGAAGTAAGAATCCAAAATGGCCAGTGTCACGCAGCTCAAATGCAAACGCGTAGGGGATGCCGTTCTTGTAGGCCCAGTCCATAGAGCTACCTGAACTCACATCTGAGAGAGGGAATCAAAAGAAGATTAAAAAACCCAGGTTAAATGCAGGTCATGTTGAAAGCACCAGAGGGTTCATGTGGTGTTTTGTCTCCAGGACTCGGTGAGTATACTTGCAACTCCAGCTTTTTGCTTGCCCTGATCCTAAACACCCTTCAGAGAAGGGCATGGGTACCCAGCACCAGTGAAAGGTGCTCAGCACAATATGGATTAGACCCTTGATTTTCACAGGAGAAGAATTAATAACTGACTTTTTTGTGTGTAAAGCAAAACTTTAATAAAAGAGAACATATAGAATAAAGCCTCATTTTTTTCTTGTTCCCAGGCAAATAAAACTTTGCTTCCACAAAGATCTTCCAGCTGGATGGGAGCTCTGCATACTCCTAGGTTTAACTTGGGCAATTCCTTTGCAGGGAGAAAGGAGAAATCTGATAATCTACATTCTCCTTTTCAAAGCGCTTCTAAAATTATTTTCTCTTAATTTCTGCCTTCTCACTGTTTCCTTACAGCATAAGAGCATTTGCATAGGTGGTGTCTAATATTAACAAACCTTCCCAAGGAAGTGTGCTTCTTATGCTTTCCTTATCTCCATATGTTGATTACCCAAGACACTTATATTTATATAAAGATCCATCTCTCATGTGGCCTGCTGTCTTCTGTGCAATTCTGGCATTAATTCACACTGCTCTTCCTTTTACATAGTGACTGACTGCACCGTAATGAGCACAAGATGCCAACTGTGCTGTGAGATAGAGGCCCACAATAAAGCGGAACTCACATCTGAGACACAAAACACAGCAACAGCAGAGGAGATGCAAGAGGTTACTTGTGACAAACCTTGCTATTTGCTTAAGCCTCTGACTTTCTGAATATCTGTTGTCACCACTGAGTGCACTCAGGCCTCATAAATTCAGTAGGAAAAAAGAAAGTGTCTTGCTGAAACCTGTTCAACTTCTGTTTCTCTTACCTGTCTATATGGAAAGCTTGACTGACAAATGTTGTTACATATTTAAAATGAGTATTTTAAAGATATTTTGTTATAGGGAAAAATGCACTTGAAATCACTCTCTGAAAAATGGAAGATTTCCAAATAAAGATACTGTTGCTATCATTTATCATAATCTAGACAGAGAGGCACATGAAACTTGGCTTTTAAAGACACCACCCTAAATTTTATAATTAGCTCTATGAATATCATAATTGCATAGGAGAAAAGTGAAGTAATAATGAAAAATGAAACCTACTTTCAGTTATTTCCTCCTATCGTGGTTTAACCCCAGCTGGCAAATAAACATCGCACAGCTGCTTGCTCACTTCCCCCACCCCCAGTGGCATAGGGGAAAGAATTGAAAGAGCAAAAGTGAGAAAACTTGATATAAACATATAAAGGGTTGATATAAAGACAGTTTAATGGGACAGAAAGTTAATAAAATAATGGTAATAATAATATAATAATGATAAAAGAATTAGAATATACAAAATGAGTGATGCACAATTGCTCACAACTCATTGACTGATACCCAGCAGTTCCTGAGCAGCAGCCCTTGGCCAGCTTCCCCGCTAATTTATAATGCTGAGTATTATGTCATATGGTATAGAATACCCCTGTGGTCAGTTCGGGTCAGCTGTCCTGCCTGTGTCTGCTTCTAGCTCCTTGTGCCCCATAACCCTTCTCACTGAATGAAGCCATGAATTCAGCATGAGAAGCTGAAAAGTCATTGAGTCAGTATAAACACTACTTAGCCACAACCACACATTAGTGTACTACCAACAATATTCCCATTCTAAATCCAAAACACAGCAGTGCACCAGCTAGGAAGAAAATTAACTCTATTCTAGCCGAAACTGGGACACCTCCCAGATATTTTGTAACTTGGTGTATTTACAGTATCTGATAAAGATAGGATTTTTAACATCTTGTTTTGTCTATTTTATTTATTTTTTAATCTGATTTTACATGTTCTGAACATGTTATTCACTGGCTTTCACCTTTCAAATGCATTGCTTTCAGATCTCTTTTATTGCATCAATTTAATTTTACTGCAGTCAACTGACTGAATCAGTTACAAAACTTCATCTTCCGCCTTCTTCACCATCCACAACTGGAACAAAGTTCACTTTAAACAGTGTTTGCTTTCTTTGTTATTATAAGGGCAGTTTCCTTCTTACCATAAGTAGGTCAAAGTCACAAACCTGTGCTAGAGGAAAACTTACACAAAGTGCTAGATGCAGGACCATATCTGTATCTTATACCATAGGCTGACTGAAGAGCATTAACAGCATTATAGGCTGCTGATTCCTGTGGGGGAGAGAAAAACAAATACATAAATTAGACTTTGAATTAAATACTGTAATAGGATTGGAACCTGATCATTGACTTCCTGCTTAATGCTGTGTTCCATGGCAGCTAATGTAAAATTATTTTAAAGGAAAAATGCATTATTTATTTATATTGACAGCAACTCCCTAATTCCCTGAAAAACTTGGTTCAGTATTTTCATGGCATGAAGAACTTTACTGCACTGTGAACAGTCAGTCATTAAGTATTTGTAATTATATGTATATATGCCAAATCAGTGACACAACAAATTTAGGAAACATGTGAGATCATGAGATGAAATAATCTCTTTTTCATGCAGTTTAAAAGCCATGCATGCATTTTCTGCCAGTATGTGTGGATGCGCTTCCAAGTCCACTAAATCTCATCTCTGCTGGGCTTGTGAAGAAGAAATGACCTCTTGGTGATACTCCACAGTGGTTCAGTGAGCAAGAGTGGGAGAAAGGAAGGAGGCAAATTTCACTCCTGAATCTGCGATGGACAGGTGACTGTTCACTGCAGATCTGACATTCTAAGGAAATGTTGATGCAGGCTTGGAGAAGTCTTCCCACTATTGCAGATATGTGATTTCAGTACTGTATGGGGAAAACTGGCATCTACAGTTCAACATCCATATGCATGCAGTCTGTTTAGGAACTCATGGTATCCTGTGAAATGGGATGAGGAAGGCCTGGCCCATGAGAAATCCTGAGGGTCACACGTGAGTAGTGCATCCAAACACAGAGAAAGGAGACATGTCTTCAAAAGAAAAAGGAATATTATGATCCCAAAGAAAAGGACTGTGGAGAGTGAAGGAGCATCTAGAAAAACACAGAGCCAGCTCCCTATAAAAAGCAGGAAATGCCTATCTTAGGAGCTGTAAACTTACGGACTTTGAACCACTGTGTAAAGCTGCAACGGTTTTAGATGTCTCAATTCTGTGAACTGAAGAGCTGTAGGTTTCATTTTATGCAAGTGTTCATGAGCTTGGTCCTTACCTTGTTATCATGAGACACTAGATGAATGCACTGGGGAAGGATTACTCTATACTTGCCTTCCCATTTATACATTTTCATTCATCTTCCACTTGTTCGCCACTGTCAGGAATCATGATCCTGGTTTAATCCTCGGTCTGACCCCATTCCTGCTGTGGGTCTTTGCCCGAGTAGAGAAGCCAGAGAAAACTGCTTTAAAATGTCATTCAAGGAAAAAAAACCACCATTACTTTCACTTACAGAAAGTAGTGCTTTGTAGAGTTTATTTTACACTGAGAACTGCTCTTAGCAAATGGAAGAGCACTTTTTAACTCCATACAGAAATCTGTTCAGCACAAGTAGATTTTTTGTTACTCAGCACAAGGATGACAGCGCTGGAGACTTGCCACTTCTCTTCCTGTTGCCATCTCCATGAAGCAGTGCATGGAGGTAGGGACCACCGAAGGCAGTGCTGCTGGGAACTTCTGCTGGGTTGGGATGTGGTCACCAGATGGTGTGAGGTGTAACCTCTGAATTACCTAACACCAAAGATGAGGAGGCTGGGAGGAGGCCTGAGGATGGGGGAAGTGCTGTTGCTTGGGACTGTTTCTCCTGAAACAGACACCTCAACTTCTGTAAGTCATGACACACAAGACCCACGATGGGGTCAGAGGTGTTGTGTGGTGGGGTGGTCACCACTGTGACCAAGGGAGCAGGAGACAGGGCTCATCTGAGGGGGCTGATATGGGTGGAGAGCAATGTCCTGGTAGCCACAAAGGAGAAGACTCCTTGTGCATGAATTTTGTATCGTACAGCAATGAGACAACAGAAGCCAGCTCTGTTGAAATCTTCCTGATGAAATAGTTTGATAATGCCCATTTAAAACCAGCACAACAGTTCTGTGCAGAGGCAGCAAACGTCTGGTGGTCAGACTGGGAGTATCCCAAGTCCATGTCCACCATGAAGGAAAATGTCCCTGGGCACTGTGAACTTGATGCTCTTAGCCTTGATGTGTTGTAGTACTTGCTTCTGTTGTTGGACTTACGTGCTCAAAGAAAGGGACAGTTCTCAAGTGCATTATACTGCGCAGGCTGGACCCTGAATAAGTCCAGGCAACCAGTCTTTGAACACCTTTAAGGAGAAAGCTTCACATAAAATTACCAGATATTTACAGACATACACAAACTCAGTCGTGCCATGTAAGTTCACTGCAAGCACTAAGGCAAGTGAGTGTACAGGCAGGAAAGGGATAAAAGGTAGGTGAAATTTAAAACTCTAGAGATGGATGAAGGTTTCTGCTGTTTGGTGGGGTTTTTCAATTTAACAGTGCACTTTCATTTTGATTATCTTAAAAGAACAGATTTCAGGAGAGTGTTAATAAGGGAGTTGTGCCTAAATTAGAACAGAATATGCATGTTGTGATCAGTACACAGCTCTCCAGTTTCAAAGCAGCTCTGAATAATTGAACACTTTAATCGAAATGGTAACTGACAGCTCACTAGAAAGATATGACCCAGACAGAGACATCCTTTCGTCTGCTTAGGATTAACTGTGCCCCCCTGTTAGCACCAAATGTTATTTATCTGCTAAGCAAGTGGAGTCCTACAGTTGTCCACTGTACAGTCTGCATAGACCGACAAAGCTTGTTCCATCAGCAGGAGGAAACAGATCTGCTGTTTTCCAGCTCACTGTAATTTCTAAGAGAAATGGAGAATCTGAAACCTCAGCCTAAGTCACCATTTTGGACACTTCAAATATTAAAGACTATTCATTCAGGTGATGGAGCCTTTGGCTGCAGGCAAATATTAAAGCACACAAATAAACAACCACCAATATTCCATTCATTTTCAAAATGATCCAAATAATGAGCTTTCTAAATAACAGGAAATTACTTCAGCTTTTTATTCCAACCTCCCTGTTCTTTTTGACCCACTGCAATAAAAAGTAGTATAGAGTCCAAATATTGGCAAAATATTAGAATTGGGATTTGGCTTCTATTTGTCCAGGGCTGTTGTCTAAAACAGTGCCTTTCTTTGTCCCTTTAGGTCTGTGCTCCACTCTAATGAGAAGCCTGATCCAAGGTCTCTCAAACCTAGGAAACACCTACTACACATCAAAAACTCAATTCCTTGGGTCTAAAAGCTGTGCATGGAAAGATAGAGTGTGCTGAGGGCCAGCTACTCCCTTTTGCAGGATGGAAATAACCCTTGAGCAACAAGAACAACATGTACTGAAGATTTACTGGCATGTGTGAAAACTCTCAGTTAGAGACTCCTTTTCCTTACAATGACAGTGTTTGCTGTTGCCTTACGTTACTCTGGATATTTTCATCATCTACTTGCAGGGAAGATGCTAATTCTTCCTAATACCATGTCTTTACCTTCTGCTGTGTTGTCCATTCTTAAAACAATATTCTTGCACCTCCTCGTACAAGGAACAAGATCCTGTGGTTTTAAATTCCCAGTCTATGTTTACTGGTAAGTGATAGTTACCAGTTAATTTGGGGGACCTCCTTTTTCTCTGCCATTCCCCAAAAGAGGGTTAAGAAAGAATAAAAAGAAGATTCATGGATTTGTTCACAGTCAGTGCAGGGCTGGTTAGTCAGTCCCCACAAGCCTTGTGTTTTTAGCTCCTTCGGCTGCTTAGTTAACTTCTAATTTGCTGTGTCGCAGGAATGACATCACACAGGAGCATTTTTAGTAGCTGTTGAAATTAAGTGTCTTAACAGAAATAAACTCAGAAAGAGAGTTTAGTTTGTGGTGCACTGGCTGCTTAGCCTCCTGGGAGGGTAGCTGAGTGAAACCTCAGTGAAGCTCCAGGGACTGACAACATCATTCATCCTGCACAGGATAAATCTAAGGTGCAGCTAAGCTCACTTGGAGTAAACTAGTTTAAACTAGCAAGTTAAAAAATCACTGCAACTTTCAAGGCCTAAATGGGAGATACATGAAGAATGTCAGTTTACTGGGATCTGAGAGAGAGGCGCTCATAACTGGTCGGTGCAATGTATGTCTGCGAGCAGGAGCAAACAGAAAGTAAAGCTTAGCCATGTTTCCTTAGGAGAATAAACCATAGGGACAGTTTTATGCACAGGAGACTGTCTAAAAGCAGATGTCAGACTGTGAGCAGAGGGAATAGTTCTGCATTTGAATGAGCATGGATTACATGAAATGTACAATCAATAGGCTTGCATAACACCCTTGTATCCTCAATTTATTTTTCTAATAGACAAAATCCCCTGATGTTAAGTAGCTGGTTGTCTTAATGGGTTAAAAATACTATGTCTGACCAGGTTCATACATAAAGCAATCCAAGCTTTGTCTTTTGGTAAGATCTATGAGATTTCTTCTCTAATCAATAAACATAAACCATTTCAATTTTATTTTGGTCATAACATTGAAGATGATCTTTGTGCTCACAGTGCTTAAGTTCTGAGTACGGAGGGACAGAAATTTCAGCTAGATGCCCAAGGACTTAATGACATAATTCCCATTACAGTTAATTAAATAAAATGATAATAACTATAATTAAAACCCAGGGATTTATCCTATAAAGTAATTTAAATGGACTGATGGGTGGAAGGCACTATACCATTCTAATCAAATTACCACTGCCTCACTATGAGTGAAGGTTATATAACCAGAAATTATTGCAAGCAGATGCAGAATAAATACCGCTCAATATTAAATATGTGCAAAGTATTGAAGAAACAAGTCTCCTCTCAAAGCAAAAGACTATTATATAGGGAAGCATATTCTCCCAAGTTTTAATGTACTTACCACACAGCTGAAGTTCGGAATAGTTGCGTATTTGTAAGAGTAAGGGTACAGCAGCATCTGTGCATAAGCGTGGAAGGACAAATAGGCTTTTATTTGTTTCCGATGTTTGCGGAGAAAATGAGCAACAGCCTTTACTTCAGGCTCAGACTCAGGAAAGGGACCACAGTAGGTGTCATCGCATGGGTGAAATGAAGCACCTTCATCTAGAGATTGAAAGAGAAAGCTGATGGTGAATGGTTACAGAGAATTTCCCAAGGGTCAGCTTCTGGCTCACCCTGTGTGGGCCCCAGTGAACAAGTGTGAAAAGCAATAAACAAATTCCTTTCTTGTGACTGATAGGCATGAGCCAGTGGGACCTCAGTACAGCAAATCTGCTTGTTCATCTAGTATACATACCAAGTTGCCAATTGGCCAGCTACCTGCAGTTCTTCCCAGAGGACATATTTTTAACCCAACACAAAAAAAAGAGAGCTTGACTTCATTGTATTTCCTTCTCTGGCTTTCCATATAAGTGGCATATTTTATGGTAGCATTCCAGCATTAAAACTATTGAAGGGTCTCAGTGGGTCTATTTGAAATCAGAGAGGTATGCCTCTTTCACTAGTCACTGCCAAGACAAATCTAGTCTTTAAGAGCATTTTAATGTACTAGCTATTACAGTGGTGGTTACAATGGTAGGTAGATAACCACAAAAGGCATAAACTAGGAGACTGGTTTAAAACATGATAATAGTTCCTGACTGCTGTCTAGTTTTACTTTTGCAAATCTCATGCGAAAAAAATGACAGGAGGATGGATTGATTGCTCAGTTAGCTAAAATAGGAATAATTTCAGTCTGTATAGGGCTTAATTTTCCTTCAAGTTTGGGGCCGGGGTTCAGTTGTGAGGCTGTCTTTCACTACATCAACCTGCTCACATGGCAGGAAGCTACAGAAGTGTAGCCTGCCTGTAATATCCCATGAGGTACTGAAAGATGAAACTCAGAAAAGGAGATGTGGCAGTGGCTGCTTTATCGTTCAGCAGATCTGGATGTAAGCCACCACCTCATTTACAGCTTAGGGCCTGAGCCTAAAAGAACAATATTTATGCAAATCTACTCCACTCTTTTATCCAGTGTGATTTTAAAATGCCACATGTTTTACACTGACCTGCATAATAATAATAGTTTGTTTGTGACATTCCCTGGTGTCATCTGGGACTTACAAAAGCAGTGTTTTATTAGCTTTCCTTTGTATAGTAAGCACTGCCATCTTCAAATAATAAGAGCAGTGTGTGAGAAGGCATAATAATATGAACTAAAACAGGTTTATGCAATCAATGTAACACCAAAAATTTCAAAACTGGAAGATTTTAATGCTGCACCTTAATTTGTAGTAAGAAAATTGAGGCTACCATTCAATGGCCACAGGTGGGGATTTCAAAAGGTATTAGTGCTTAGATTGCAGTGGATATGGAAGAGTTATATAGAGGGCAGATGGTCTTTTCCCTACAGAACAGATGGCTACCAAGGTATCCGGATCCCAAGGGCACTCTGCCTTGATGTCTTGTCAGATATTATAGCTAAAGAAGAGCTATTTAACAGACCCTCTGGAGCCTTTGCATTTTTTAATGGATACTTCATCTACTGTAACAGTGTTGTACACCGATTCATGAAAATGGACATCACTGTTAATAAACAGCAGAATCCTACAAGCTAATGGTAAAGTGACCCAATGGTAAAATATGACTCAGTTTAGTGACTTTCACTGAAGAAAAAAACCTCTCTGAACTTTCCAGCCTACTACTGTGAGCCATTTGCAATCCTAGCTGCAGCTGAGGCATCTCCTGAAGTGAAATGGCTGGTGGTAAAAAGAGAGGTCTTCCATGGTAGCCTTGGATAATGTAAGGATAGCCTCAATTTGCATACTCAACCTCACAACCTTCACAAACAAGAAGGAAACAAAACAATACAATAATACCGAATTGTGTGAAATTTCTGACTTATGGTCATGAGAAGAAAATAGAGTGGCATAAAATGCTACCGTGCTGCTTCATTTTTGTACCTGACAGCATATCAGGGGAGGACAAGTATCCTCCAACATCCATCATGAGGTCAAATGTACAAAGGAAGTGTGTGCAGAGACTGTTAAAACCAATTCTTTGGTACAGAAGGAAGACAGGGAGGGTAGATGAGTGGGAGTATGATTCTCAAACTTCCTTGCAGCCCCTTCTTGTGCCGACAGGGGAAACTGTCCTCAGTGAGCAATGGGGTACACAGGAAATTGGGATGAACTGGAAATTTTAACTCCCACTGCTGCTTTTCTGGGGGCTTTGGATGCAACCCCTTTAACTTGATTTGCCTCATGACATGATTTAGTTCTAAGTATCTCATTATTGGCTGTAAGGTTGCTATTTATTTCATGAACACTAAACCATTGTGCTAGTTATTTCATATATATATATATATATTGCAACGAGCATTTCTACCCAGAAATCTTGCTGTCAGTATTCACCTGGGTCTGTGTACAATTTCTGTGCACTATTTTGAGTGCAAGGCACTGCAAGGTGAAACCTACCACAATCAGTGATACGGCCTTTTCTTATTCCCTAGAAAATACAGAAGCAACATCATAAAGCTTTCATCAAAGTCCTACACTAGAAGGGAAGAGGAAAGCAGAAAGGATGCTGTGTCTTTACCAACTGCTGCACTGCTGCTGGCATTCAGCGGCTTTGCTGGGGCTGGATTCTGCCAAAACACACCAGCTTGGAAGCCCCACAGTGAAGTTCAAGCCTGTCTGCAAACTGCAAGTGTGACTGAACTGAATTAAAAGGTTTTTACAAGCGTGTGCAGTATTAAATGTTAAACACACCATGATTATACAAGCCTCAAAGTGTGATATGTTCCAGATTCTTCTCTGCCTTATTTAGTGTCAGACTAATGAGAACATGGGGTTCTGGGTGAGGATCTTCTAAGCACCAGTCAGCCCAGTTAATGAAAGAGCTCTTTATTCTCTGGCAAACTAGAGAATCAGGCAGAGTTTGGAGTCTCATGAGGGAAGCAGAGCATGTGCTTGGTGGGATAGGAGCAACCTTGGAGGAATCTTTTAAACCTGGGGTGGGGACTTGTCTTTCATGTTCCATGCAGGGGAGAAACACAGCAAGTGGTGGACTGTGACACACAACATGTGTGTGTATGGTTACACTTTCACTCAGCCTAGAAAAAATGATGTTTTGCATTACTGAAAACAAGGCAAACATTTTCAGGACTGAGTAAAAAGTGTGCTTTAGTACAGTGGCTAGTGAGTAGAAAGAGCAGGGAGCAGAGTCATTTGAACCCGAGAAAGATTAATTAGGACTAGAAAGTGCACTGTGACAGTATTATTGTTGCACTGATAAGGTACTTGCAAAATGGCTCTGAAGACTTTGTAAGAGAACTGTTCATTCCAGCTATGCTGGTGACTGTCTCCTGAAGAGTGTGTGTCCCCCAAATACCTGCAGCAGTGACTTTACACATGTAAGTAAAAGATGGTAATGGCAATTCAGACTTTGGTGCATTTTTACATTATTTTTGCAGCATAAAATTGCCTTAAAGATCATGTTAGCATCCCTGGGACTGGCTTGTGTCATGGAGGGGTTCTCAGCTAACATAGGCTTTCTGTAATTGCTTCTGTGTCAGTCCTCTCCCAACTGCAAGCAGACCTGAAAAAAACCTGGAAGCATATTTCACAGGTCCGTACTGTATTGAATATATGCTTTTGTTCACTCTCACCTCATTTGTAATCTCCCCTGGCAGAGTACTCACACTCACTTTTATCCTTACAGTACTGCTTAAAGAATCTAGTTGATGCAAGCCAGACTGTACAGTGCTTACTCCTACTGCAAGTAATCAGAGTATTGAGGAAACCTTTAGGGACTTTCAGTGAAAGAAGGATAGGCTGAAGGGAGTGCTAGCTCTATGCAAACATTAGTTCTGTCTTTACAAGTTTGTAGTATAAATAAGGAAGGTGGATGAATGCTGGAGGAGGAAACAGCTGAGCAGAGAGTTGAAGGAAGGTGCTCAAGATGGGGGAGCAGGTCATCAGAAGTACCAGGTGTGTGTATCACCATAGTTCACAAGAAAGTGCCATGACTCTCTGCTGCACCAGAACTTGTACGTCTGCTTACTCCTGTGTAAGTTGTACTGGCTTGCTGTAAGATTTAATAAAAAACCTTTTCCTCTTCAGTGGACCCATTCTAAATCCTCTGCTGGTATCACATTACTGCTGAATCCTCTATGCACAATTGAAGTCAATTTTTATGAAGGTATTTACAGAAGTGCTGGGAGTTTTAAATTGGAGCTTCATGTGTTTAGAAACACCTTCTTTCTTTATGAAATCACTAATAATAATGGCTTTAAAATATTCTCAGACATTTCTCTGTGAGGCCAACAAAGCAAGTCTGACATTTCCAAAGCTAAACCCGTTTCAGAGACATTACTAAGTAAAATAAAATGAACTTTGAAATGTCTCCTAAAACTGTAAGTCAGGTAAACCCTGGACTGTGATGGGCCAGGCTCAATACTGTGCTTCAAGTTATTAGCTGATTGCAGGAATACAGAATAGCTGTATGTGTGGTTTTATACATTTGCCATTCTCACCATGAAAACGTTTTATTTGTGATGAGAGGTGTTTTTCCAAAGCTCAGGACATTTATTTTTCAGAAGCTGGGAGGAAGATTTGAGTCCTGTCTTGTGGTTTAATGGGAAACTACCTCCAAATTTAACTACAGAAAACAGAACACTTCACAATGGATGTGACCTAACCTACTTACTCTGTTGGATAATTAAGTACAGGGTAATCTGAACTGGTGGACCAAAGTGTCTCCAGACTTACCACACCATTTCACTTTCCAGTTGCGATTAGCATCAACACCATGACACCGAAACCTTGTGTTCTTTGATCTTGTTTTTCTCCAAAATCGATCCTAGCAGAAGGTATCAAATAGTTAAATAGCAATATTATTATCTTTTGGCAAAAGTCTATTTGTATACATAACAAACCAACTGCCCTAAACATATTCAGTACTGTATTTTAACTGGGTTAATTTACTTCCATTTTGCATGCCACAAGGTGATAGACCAGATTATACAAAAAGTCCCCTTTGAATGATGCACCAACTATTCCATCTTTACAGAACAACTTTTTTGGTAATACTACTGATACTACTCACATTTGTCCAGCTAAAATGGTATCCATCCACATTAAATACAGGCATGATATAGAAATACAGCTGAGTTATCATCTTTCTCATGGCAGGATCAGTCTGGTATGTCTGAAGAACCTAAAGCAGAAAAGACAAAGAAAGTAGTTTCTATAATAAAAATAATTTCCCAATTAAATGCTGTGACAGGCTAAGACAGTCATGTGGCCTTTGGCAGTACAGAGACCTGAACTCTGTATGGCACCACTGACACCCTTAGAGCTGTACTTAAAGGCTGATACCTTCCTGCAAATGTGATTAAAGGCAGAATGTGAACATGTGAAAAAGGTGTTTGAAAGACCCTATTCTCTCTGCTTCTGTGTTTCTTTCAATAGCCAAGAAAATACAAGTCACCTTACAGAGAAGCAAATACATACAAAGTGTTTCTTGACATAGGAGCTGAAAGTCAAAGGACAGATTTTTAGTTGAGGAAATGAGGTTAGCTCCTCCTGTAAGACAATGGAGTGCTGTTGTTTCCACCAGGTGGTGATTTGGTGAGATCAGAGCAAGTCTTAAAGTGTTTAAGGCTCACATCACATAAGCTTTTGTTGTATTCAAAGTAATTTACTGTACGCATAATCATAAATACAGGCAGCTTATTCCTTTATAGTTTAGAATACCCTCTACTTTTGGAGAATCTCAGGTATAGAGATTAGAGGAAGTCTTAAGTAGGGAAAGTGTTTTCTTTTCCATTCTGTATCTTAGGAAAACATAGGAAACCAGAGGCTCCTCAGCAGTTCTTTTTGCTAGTACCAGAGATGCCCCTTTATCAGTTTCGGGAAGCTTGGACACCACATGCTGTAGAAAAAACTGTCCTTTGTCATAGCTGGGCATCAAATCTGCAACCTTCAAAGTTTAAGTCTTGATTCTGTAAGGGGAGGAATCAAGTGCTTCAACTGGCAGGGAGAGAATGTATCACACTGACACAGGGCTCAGAGGCTGGCTCCCCTTTTCCTTGTGCTGTGATTACAGCTTCTGCTCTGCAGTGTTTCTGGCCCTTCAGATCCGAGAAGTAACATGTGTCTGGGAGGGCAAAGGGAAATGTGTGTTCTGAAATAAACGAAGCTAAAAGCTTTTCAGTTGAGAAATGCTGGGGATCAGAGTGAAGTACAGGAATTCGATGCTTCTGGACTCTGTAGCATGCAGCTGTTTGAAGCTGCCACGGGCTGACAAATCCTTTTTATGGAATACCTGTAAGAAACACCCATACAATTGGACATGTCTGGGGCTGAAATTTACTCATGGAGGAGTCTGAACATTTGTTTTCTTTACTGAGGGCCTAATAAGACTTCTAAATACTTTTTCTAAGTTGCTCATTAACTACCTTTATTGTGCAGTACTTTCCCCTTATTCATCCTCAGCTTTCCTCCCAGCAGTGCTCTGCATGTGCAGGTCCTTCAGCAGATTCAAAGCATCATGTCATCCCTGTGCAAAGCCACCAACTTGCCCAGTGCTGCTACTCCACACCAAGCTCCTCTTCTGTTTCAGCCAGGCAAGAGGAGAGGAAGGTGAGCAATAGAGGGTGAAGGGGGGGACAGCACCGAATGAAATGAGACTGGGGCAGAAGCTGGGACAGCACGGTATGGAGCACCAAAGGGTGGGATGAGATGTTTAAAGAGGGCAGGATTATCACAGGGGAGAAGAGGATGACAGCAGGCTTTTGAGGAAAAGCTTGGTGGAGCCATGGGCTGCCTGGAAGAAAGTCACTGGCCAGTGTAGAGGTTCCAGGTCTCCTGGCCCACATGCCAGAAATTCCCCAAGGATTCTTAGCTGGAATGGTATTGCATTCAAATTTGATTTACTTGCATTAGGAGGCCACATAAAGGCTACAAATATATTTGGATAAAAATATTGGTACTCAGGGAACTGCAGCTATAGTAAAGTAATTCTGTCAGAACAGAAAGGAATGGTTACTCAAAAATAATGACTGTGACAACTGGGGCTCTGTTTCATTATGTTCCATGTACAGAAAACACATAATAGGGCTACTCTGTGCATTAAGGTAGCCCTGCACTTGAATCTGTACAGGCTTCAGAGCCTGTACGGTAAGTATGAATGTTAAATCTGCAAAACTGTTCTTAACAATGGAAACAAAACAGTCACCCTCCAAAATATGAGTCAAGGAAAAATAGCATTTTTATTATGCTTATTTCAGGGAGAAGTAATTTGGCTGGGGAAGAAATAATGCACCACACACCACTTTATTGACTTTTTAATGCTTTTCTCTTTTTAGACAGTTTTAACAAATTAAGCTAAGGCTGTGTCTCCATAGTGGGTATTTCCGTATCAGTGATAATGACATTGGCCTGTTTGCTTCTATCTATATTTACGTATGCCATTCTTTTGCTGTCAGTTACATCTGCAATTATGCATTTTATTACCCTATAGTGTTATATACTGCATTTTATACTGCGATGCTGTAAGATTCAAATCTTTAAAACACTTTAAAAATTATCTCCTTAAAATAACTACACCTAAGTAATTAATTTAAAGTAATATCCTTCTGAAAAATTGCATGGATGAGCTTTGCAAAGTTTTCAGAACCTTTCGGAATTTGCAAAAAGTGACATAATGAAAATATTTGAATTAAGATTTTTTTAATGTTCAATATGTTTTAAATCCTATGAGGAATGTATTTTTCTTTCTAGGTAAAAGCACCGCCATTTGAAAACCAAAACAAAACATAGGCTGCAAAATGCCAAGCACCCTTTCATTTTTTATAGCTACTCTATGTTATTTTAATGTCTGCTCCCACTGACAAAATAGGAGAGACTGTAGAAAGCATTATAGTCCCCAGTAATACTCTTCAAAATTTCAAGTTGATTTAGAGCCAAATATAGAATCATGGAATCATAGAAGGGTTTGGTTTGGAAGGGACCTTAAAGGTCATGCAGTTCCAACCCCTCTGCCATGGGCAGGTACACCTTCCACTAGACCAGGTTGCTCTATCATTCAATTATGTTCTTTAAAGCATCTATGCTTTTTCTTACTAATTTAGTTACCCTTTTAGAGCAGCATTTCATGAAAATGCAATGGACCTGGTGTGACCTTCTTGATGGGAAGCCAGAGTGCAGGTGGTATAACCTGGTTTAAGTGAGATCATATTTACTGTTTCTGCTGAAAATATTCTGTCCTTCCGACTGCTTTTATCTGGCGCTTTTATTTGATACATGCAATCAGGAAACACAGACTGCATAATCTTACCTTCCTTAACAGGGAGGTCTTTGGCAGTGTGCTTTACAGTTACTAAGTTGTGTCCTTGCTGGAGCAAAGCCCACAACTTGTCTTTTACGGCATGACTCTCAAATCCTCCAAAAAATGATGATGTGAACCACCCACCCTGGCAGTGCTGAAACATTTTCTCTCCGCTATGACACAAGCAAGATGAATATAAGCTATTAGTGAATTAACTGCCGTGTCGTTTTCACAGAGCTCTCAGAATACAGAGTAATGTGACTTTATATGGCTTGATTCTGCTTCCCCATCATGCAATCAATAGCAGCTTCACTGCTGAATTTGCAGAGAGCCAGACTGGCCCAATAAATGCTGAATAGTGTTATTAGTGAATGAACAGATGATACAGGAACCCTGCCAACACTGTGCAAGTAATCTGCCTGGGGGATGGGGGAAAGACCCAATGATTAATAGGAGGGGGCTCGATCATCTGGATCAGTAGAGCAGTGGTTGTTTGGTAGCGCTACACCAGCTTAGGCTGGCTGCGGATCTGGTCCATAGGAAATTTAATTTGGGGGATGAAGCGAACTAAAGAGCTATACTGTACACTGACAAGGCAATAAAAGACAAGAGTCTAAAATGGATTTAGGATGCAGTTGGGCTTTTTATGAAATATAGGGATTGACTGGGAAGGACAAAGCAAGGAGACAGAGTTGAGAGAAACTGGAATCGAAGCTGAGCTTAATAACGATTTGCTGTCCCTCAATTAATTATTATGAAGTTAAAGGTAACAATCAGCTTTTGCTGTTTCTGAATTAAGCAATCACACTGAATTAAGCAGTTACCATTATAGCACAGGGAATTGACTGCATTGCTGCTCTATCAGAAATCACATAAAGCTGATTCAACCAAAACAGGATTAACTCTTCCATGCCATTATTAAGATATCAGTTAAATCATACTTTCTGACAGTAACATACAATATTTTACTATTGTCTGTACATCTTACACTTTGGCAGGGTGACACTGTGATCTGCCATTCAGGCCTTCATTGCTACATTGGCAAGCTAGTAGTTAGCTCTGTCGCTGTACTTGGAAGAAGTACATCTTTTTATCACCATTTTCCCTTTTACTGCTAGTGTCCTGCTTTGGCATTCAAATCACAACCTGAATGGTAAGCCCATTTTATTAAGGCTAAGATACAACTGTGTGTCTAGAAACTAATGGCTTAAAATAAAGGGTCAAATTTTCAAGGCTGAAGCTTGAACTGTATATGGTTTATTTATTAGTATTTTTTAATGCCAAGCAAAATCTTTCTTCCTTTTTGGCAGCATTTCCCACAGGAGGAATCTAGAAACAGCAACTGAGAAAAATGAGTGTGCTGCAGCTACCCTGCAGCATTCAGAAGAGAGCTCATAAAAAGATTCCAAAAAGAAGGACCTGTAGGATTCCAAAGGCTTGCTTATGCTGCCCCTAAAGGATGCAGAAGGAGAAGATGCTGAAGCAGAGGAGGCAGGGGAACAGTGTCATGATTGACATGCTAGAGAAGAAAACAGCAGTTTCAGCAAGCTTGGGCAAGGCCTGGACCACCCAAGCAAATTCAGGACCTTGTGGGGAAGAAGCTGCATAGTTACACAAATGTTAATGGAAATAGGAGACAGAACTTCTTGGTTCTTCTCTGAGAGGCAGTATATAAAAACCCCCTCATAGTTCCCAAACAAATCAAGGACTGTTTAACAGGTAAAGGGAAGGTCTGAGTCTGAAGCACTGTGAGTGCTCTGAATGGGGCAACACAAAATTCCCTGCTAGTAATTACATGAAACTAATGACCACCAGCTTTGTGGAGGCTTACCAGCAGTATACCTCTGAAAAATGTAATTCTTTAAGTTTATTCCCTAGTTATGTTG